TTAAATTTTGGGACCCTAATTTTTTTAGTTCTTTATATATTCTAGATAAAAGACCTTTGTCTAAGTGATTATTGGTTAAGATTTTTTCCAAAGTTGTGAGTTGTCTTTTCACTCTGTTGGTGGTTTCTTTTGACATGCAGAAACTTCTCAGCAAGAGGGGATTCCAGTTGTTAATTCTCTGAAGTATTTCCCATGCAGTTTTATTTTCATTTATTTATTTATTTTTGCAGAACCGGGGATTGAACTCAGACCTTTGCACTTGTCAGGCAAGCACTTATTCTACTGAGCCATCTCCCTGGCCCCTCAGTTTTATTTTTGTTCATGAACTGTCTGCCTACCCCATGTCTTCAAGATTTCCATCTACTTTCTCTTCCAGATTTAGTGTTTCTGTTTTAATGTTTAGATCTTTAATCCATTTTGACTTCAGTTTAGTGCATGGTGATAGACCTGGGTCCAGTGTTAATTTTTGGCATGTGACGAGCCAGATTTTTCAGCACCATAATTTCAGGACTTTTTTCTTTTTATCTTTTTTTTTTTTGTTGTTGTTGTTGTGGTTTTTTTTTTTCCTCCTTCATTGTTTCACTTTGTCTTTATATGAGTATGAATGTGGTTTATAGCCTCTTTGTGGTTGTGGTTCTGTTCTGTTCTGTTCTTTCATTGCTTCTCTTTCTCTTTCTTTCCAGTATTTTGCTCTAGTTTCCCAAAGTTAACATGATCCCCTTTGTCCTCCAGCCTTCTAATCTCTTTCTCCCATTTCTCTATTTTCTCTCTAACCCATTTAAAAATTTAACCCCAGAGGTCAAAAGAGACATATTAAGGACTTGTATATTGCATGTAATTTTCTGGTTTGTTTTGGATTTTCTTATATAGCCATAAATCTAGTGCATATGATTAAAGGTGGAAAATTAATGGTTAGATTAGTTTGTTGTTTTCTAGACTGTGTTTGATACTATTGTCATTGCTGATATAGATAGTACCATTATAGCCACAAGTGACATAATGTTCTAAACAGCTGTCCTTCCTGGTACTTCAAAACTGAAATTGACTAAAGGTCACAGAAAATACTGTGGCACAGTGCCAAAGAACCAGGGGCTGGGCTAAACTGGCAGCAACTTCTTATCCCCAACAAATTGAAGAAGTATGATCTTGCAATAGATTCAAAACCCCAAAACCAGCTATATCTGGAGGATATCTCGGAGAAGTAATCATTTCCTAAGGGTTTTAAATACTAACAATAAAGCAACCCACCATAGCAATTTACAAGCAGGAATTAAACTAAAAAAAAAGAATAGAAAATGAGAAGACATTTAAACAAGATGCAAACCCCAGACATACAGCTCACCAGAGGCAAACCCAGGGGGTGTGAATGAAGTGTGACAATCTAAAAGCCACCCACCTGGCCTCTCTGAAGTGTTAACAACAAAGCAGTTGAATGAGGGCTCTAGAAAAAGTAAAATCAGAAATGATTTCCCAGATAACTGCAGAGATGGTGTGTCCACAATGAAAACTATGTTTAGTGACTCTAGAGAAGATACAGACAAAAACAAACAAAAAAAAAAAATACAGGAACTTAAGAAGATTATTGAAGCCATGAATGCTCAACATAAGAAAGAAATGGAACCCATAAAGCAGATTCCAGCAGATATCCAGGAGAATAAAAATTCTCTTGAAAGTATCTGTAGCAGATTAAGCTAATGTGAGCACAAGATCTCATGAATAGAAGGCAGGCTTGTGGGTAACAATCATGAAAAGAAAGATTTCTTAAAAATAGCAAGGGAGGGGCTGGTGAGATGGCTCAGTGGTCTAAAGCACCTACTTGGAACAAGCTTGGTAAAGCACAGGGACTGCAGTTCGATCCCCCAGCACCACAAGCCAGCCAGCCCCGCCCCCTGGTGGGCTGAGCTGGCCACACACACACACACAAATAAATAAATGTAAAAAAAAAAAAGAAAGAAGAAGTTAGAATGCTAACTTCTATGTTAAAAAAAATAACAAGGGATCATGAGAAATCTTTACAGTTGCCTCTAGATGAGACAAAGAAGAACTTAAGATTGATTGGAGTCATTGAAAAAGTAGGAGACAGCACAAATGATATAAAGAGATGTCACGGCAGAAAACTTCCCTGGTAAAGAAAAACAACAAAAACAAAACAAATTTGTATTGAAAATCTGGAAAGGCCTAGGAATACTATACTAGTGGGAAGAGCCATCCTAATTCCTTTTCAATAAAGTAAGATCTAAATAAGTACACAAAAATAAAAAAAAATAGCTCTGGTGTTAGCAGAAAGAAAATCTCTGAGTGTGGTGGCACATGGCTGTAATCCCACTCTCTGGGAGGCTGAGGCAAAAGGATTGCCCTGAGTTCAGCTTGGGCTACATAGTGAAACCCTATCTCAAAAAAGAATGAAAAAAAAGAAGAAAAAAATATATACTGTAGACATTCCTTGTTTAACCACTGTGTTCTGTTTCTGAGACTACATCATTAAGTGAATTGTTTGCTAAATGAGGAACTGTGTGTAGCACTGTATGTACATTACAATATTCAGAACAAAGAAATGCTTAAAAGAAACTCCAACTTGATATCTTATTTGTATAATTTCCATGCAGTACTATATTGTATAACAGAATACTGTACTCTAAAGTACAATCAGCAAAAATTACAGTAGTGTATATACAAGGTATCCTGTATAAAAAAGGACATTGATGTTCTAGAAATATGGTGTATAGAACTGTGACAAAGAAATAAAGGACAAGTTGTAAGTCCAAACAGCATATCTGGGGGGGGGGCGGAGAGAAAGAGACAGACAGACAGACAGACAGAGATGAATGCTGAACACTAAGGCCCCACTAAAAGTGCCCCAGCAGGGGAAACTCTAGAGAGGTTGTAAAGGGTAAGGAGGGAGGGCATCCCAGGTGGCATGAACAGCTGGGCACAGACTCCAAGACAATAGTGACAATAGTGGCTTGTTAGAGACCAGCAGGTGGTGTGGGGAGGCTGGAGGAACGGTAAGTGGAGGAAGGGGAGGGTGTGGGCCAGATTTTATACATATTTATGTATACATATATTTTAATTTGTTTGTTGAGACAGAGTTTTGCCACATAGTTCAAGCTGGTCTTGAACTCACAGTAACCCTCATGCCTCAGCTTCCTAAGTGCTGGGATTACAGTTGTGTGCCGCCACACTAGCATCTTTGCTGTTTTGGTGAGGGGGCAGATTGTGGACAGCATAGCATTGGACACAGTCCTTGCTGGGTTGTGAGATTTCATTCTGTGGACACTGGGGCTTTAGGAGAGGATTTTAGGTAGTGATCAACAGATATGTGTAGGGTCCTGGAAGCCGCTTGACAATGTGACAGACGATGGATCTGCTTGACATCATCTGTTAGTGGCCAGACTGTGGTGCACAAGCCCGTGGAAGACCTGACGTGCACATCACATCAATACCGGCTTTGTCCCCACACCCCTTTGTTGCCTCTCATTCTTCTTCCACCTTCTTCCCATGTTTGTCTGCTTCGCGAGCCCTGGGTGCTCCAGCCCAGGTCATACATTTTGCTAAGCTCTGCTGCAGTTCCAGGCAGTTGGGATGTTTGCTTCTCAAGCCCCTAATGGCCTGAGCAGAGCAGCCCAACTGCAGTGGGGAAATAAGCAGGAAGGGAGGGGTGACCATCTTCTCCAGGGAAGGCCAGGAGAAAAGCAGAACAACAGCTTGGCTTAGGAAAAGACAGCAACATGCCACAAGTTGCTGTGGGGCAGAGAAGGGGTCTCTGTGTGTGTGTATTCTGCTTGCTTTGTTTGAACTACACGACATGTCTTGTTAATCCACAGCAATTTTCTTGGAAGCTTTCTAGAACTAGGCCTGGTGAGAGGTCCTGAGGGAATGTATCTGTCCAAAAGTCAAGCTAAATAAATAAATAAATAAATAAAATAAAAATAAATAAATCTGACTTGCGGATATAGACAGCTCAGCAGTAGAGTGAATGAGTGGGAGGCCAGGCTTTCGATTTCTGGCGCCTAGGGGAGGACAAAGGCACCTGGCAGAACAGGCCTGCGGGACCCAGGCTGCAGTCAGGACTCACGGCATAAAGAGTAAGTCCGTGGACTGAAGCGCTGCCTCTGCGGCTACATTTCGGGTTGGATCGCTTCAAGCCATAGTCAAGCAAGGCACAGGCCTGGGGCACAAAGGCAATAAGCCACACTTTTTGCCATCAAGGGTAACGAGCCTTGTAAATACATTAGTCAAGAACACAGCTGGAGTGGGAGGTCACCAAAACCAAAACCAAAGCCAAAAACCCAAACGAGGCAGCCATACAACTCACCGCACTGACTGCTCACACTGGGTGTGCTGGCAAAGAAGACATAAGACTCAGGAGGGGACAAAGCTAGGAGCCCCGTGGGTCCCAGCCGGGGCCTGCCAGCCCTCACTCCACACTTAAAGATCTGTTTGCAACATTCCTTAAAAGGCTCCTTAAAATGTATATTCCTCGAAGCAGACCCCATGTTAGCGAATCAAAACAGCTGGAGGCGGGCTTCCGAATCAGCCTACCCCTGGGGCAGTCTGAGGCGAGTAGGCTGCCTGTTTAAGGAGCATTGCTGGACGGAAGATAATGACCTGCTTCAGAGACAGGTCAGGTCAGCTAGCAAGGCAGTGTGTGTAAAACAGCCTTGTAAACAGAGAGCAATCCGCCAATTATAATAATATAATAACTCAAATGATATCTAAATGACAACACTGAAAGAATTGCAGAGCGCACTGCAAACAGCGAAGTTCCAAGTCTATATACTACGGCACGATCACTCCAGGAGTCAGCGTGACTGTTCCTTTAAGGCCCCCACACCCCGCCTTCGCGCCTCCCGCGGGGCAGAGGGCCGGGCCTGCGGCGCGTGCGCACGGGGTCTCCAGCCGGCGAGCGCAGCGGCGTGACGCCGGCGCTTGTTGCGTCTCGCTGGCCCCGCCCCTCCCCGCCCCTTCCCCCTCCTCCTGCGCGGGGCCTCCCCCGCCCGCGCGGTACAGCTGGGCCAGTGACGCCGGCATCGCCGCCACCGCGCGTTCCATTCTCCGAAGCCGGCGACCGCCGAGTCACCTCCTCGCTTCCGCCGGCTTGCTGCCGCCGCCGCCTTCGCGTCTTCCCGCAGCGCCGGCCAGCGTCAGCCAGACAAGGGCACGCGGAGTCTCGCCTCGGCCGAGGGGGCTTCGGGTGCGCGGAAGCCGCGAGCGCCCCCCTCCCGGAGGCTTCGCGCCGCTCCGGGTGAGTTGTCACCTGGGCCGGGCCGGGCCGGGGCGGGCATTGTGTCACTGCCGTTCCCAGCCGGCTGTCAGGGGCGCCAGCCGGTGCGCACCGCCCGGGACGGACGCGGGCCGAGCCCTGCCGGCTGCTCCTTGAGCTGGCCTGCTGTCACCGGTCGCCCGGCTCCCGAACCCCGCGTCGGCGTCGCCCGGCCGGCCTGGGGACTGAGGGAGGCAGTGTGAACCGGCACCCGGGCCTCCGGGCGTCTGGCCGGAGCTGGGGACCGGGTCCCCGCGCGGGGTCCGGCAGCCTCGCCGGCCGGCGCGGACCGGCGAGCAGAGGCCTTCTTTCCGGGGGTCGCTCCCGAGCCGGCAGGGCCGCGGGTCCCGCGCTGGCGGGGCTGGCGGAGCGGAGGTGGATTTCCTGAGGAAGCTGCAAGCTCCCGGAGGTGTGCGGGAGCCGTCTGCAGCCCTCGCGCCTCGTCTGCTCTTTAATCTTGAAAACTTTTTCTTATTATGTGGGCTGAACTCATGGAAGCCACTTCCTGTTTTTTTAATTTTAGTGTATGCATATAGACGCTTTTACGCCTGGGTTTTAGCGACCCCATATATTAGTGAGTGACACTTAGCGTGTGTGGCTCTGCAGCTACTGAAGTGGAAAAAGTTGCCTGTAACGGCATTGGGACAGGCAGGTGGTTGAGGGGACGGTAAGACCCCGGGGGGAAAAAGGAGTCAGAACCCAGTCTGGGCTGGTGAGAGGAAAGTTCTTACCTCCGACAGAGGCCTAATGCTGTGCTTGCCACTGAATTTTCTCTGTGGCAGGCAGTGTGCTGGGCTTTGTTGTTCTTCCTAATTGGAGTTGTGTGTTCTCTACAAAGGTTCAGGAAGACTAGTTCAGTTCAACTTAGGCATTTACAGTCTTTTTAGATCCAGAGCATGGACTGTCTTTCTATCCGTCTTTCTGCTTCAGTTCTTCTAGTTAAAAAATACGGATGAATAGTAGGCACGCGTGTGTTCTCTCTCTCTCTCTCTCTCTCTCCTTCTCCCTCTCCCTCTCCCTCTCCTTTAGGAATTCTGCACCCAAATTGTCACTATCTAGTGGAGGCTAGTAGAGACATGCCCCTGGCACAGACTTCTGAGTTTTCTGAGCTTTGTATTTTTAGTTAGCTGCAGCTCAACCAGAAATGAACATTGTCTCAGAGTTAGCAGAGGTATTTCTTCACTTCAGTAAAGCAGTAATTGGATAAGGCAGCGATAATACCAGTTCTTGAGCACTGTGTACAAAACTTTGCGTAGTGTCTTACTTTTGGGATCAGTTAGTAACCAGCAAACTTTTTAGAGAGATATTGTGATCCTCATTTTTCCAATTGAGACCAGAGCTAGAGAAGTTAAATAACTTGTCTGAATGCACAAAGGTATATATAATGGAGTCTTTCTAAAGACTCTCTTCAAGTAATGCTTGAAGTTTTTTCTGTTTCTCAGTGTCCCTCATTCTCCAAGATACACATTTACAGTATGTTTGTAGAACACTTACTCAGTTTTTCATTTAGCTCACAAATATTTCTGTGATTCAGAATACATGCCTAGCACTTGTGACACTGCAGTGACAGAACCAAGCCATCTATCTTTTCATGGAGCCCACGAAGTCAGTTACTTTTCATTAGGGGCCTTTTGTTACTCAAGAAACTTTGCCCAGTAAGTTAAACAGAGGACAGTATTGGTGTGAAGCCTCCAGATGGGATTCCTGTACCTTTTTGGGTACCTTATAGAAATGGAAAATAATTCAATCCCCGGTTCCACCAAAGAAAAAAAAAAAAAAAAGAAATGGAAAATAAAACCAATCCTTACCTACTACTGATCTGTTCCCAATATGAATGCTGTTTTTAAAACCCTGAGCGCAAACTCATTGTCCGATAGTGCAATTTGCCGCACTGGCAAAGCTTGCCGACTTCAGGCCCAGCCTTTGGGCCCATTGAAAGCAGAGGACAGGTGGGATGAGGTGTTAGAGGCACAGACTGGCAAATAGCAAGACCTCTGCACTTCGCCTGGTTTCCTGGCTGATCTCCACAGAGTGGCGCTTGAATTTGTGAGCTTATGTAATGGTGCCTCTCCTAGCAGGGGATTTCCTCCTTGGCTGTTGCTGGGGCAACAGTTCCTGCTGCTCAGCTTGCCCTCCACACACATAACATGCACCTTCCAGAGGTAATAATTCATGTGGCTTCTGGCTTATAGAAGGCAGACTTCTTTCAAAGTTGATTGCTATTAAGCACTGCTCATTCCCTTGCTTGATGCTTGTCCATTCCCCAGGTAAAAACTTGCCTTTTGTTTCAAACCCTTCCTTGTGCCCTCTCACTTTATTTTTACATCTCCTGACAACTCCTAGTTACTGCTGGTGCTTTGTCTCCTCTGGGCTCAGAGAAGTAGTGTCTTAAAAATTAATATGGGAACATCATTGTCCACATTCAGGACCGGAAGAGATGAGCTGGGAGAATGAAGCAGAGAGCCAGGGAACACAGGCGCTGGCCTCTCCCTCCAGTTCCCCATTTACCGAGAGGCAGTTTGCAGGAAGCCCTGGCAGGGCCAGAAAGCCCACTTGGAGATCCACAGGGTTGGTTGCGTAACTGCAGTGCGGGAAGCTTTTTATTGAGCTCCTGGGTTGATGTGCAGTTTCCTAGCTGATGCTGGCAGGCAGAATTCATTTTCCTTCTGTGTGACTGGATTCTAAGGAATTCTTGTTTGGGGTGCATTCCCTCAAGCAGTGGGAAGATGATGAGCAAACAAGAGGAAGAGATCCTGTGGCTTTGAAAACAGCCCTTGCTGTGATGCAGACTGTGTTGAGGATTAGGACCTCTTGATTAGGGGAAAGCACTGAGACAACTGCAGGGTGGGACAAGAGGCTCCAGCTTTTCAAAATGATGTGGATACAGAGGGGTCACTATCTTAATCTATCTTTTGTTGCCACAACAAAATACCAGAAACAGGGTAATTTATAAAGAATAGAAGTTAAATTTGGCTTAGTTGTTTTGAAGGCTGTGATTTCCAAGATACTTTGTTCTCATTCTGTATCTTAACACAGTATAGGGCATCACAAGGTGATGTGGTAGCTCTGTCTCCTTCCTCTCTTGGCTACTAATGGCTATCATGGGGCTCAACCTTATGAACTCAGCCTGTTTACCTACAGTACCTCCACCTGCTGGCCCCACTCCCAAAGAGTATTAACATAGGGGACATTTTCAACCACTGGCACCCACGTACGTATCTTACAGTGAAAGTTTCATTTAGTGGGATGATCTTTTAAAAATTCATGTTCTTCAGTTATGTTACCCCATCAAGGCATGCTTGGGAAGTAGAGCAGTGAGAAATACTGCCTGAAATATGGTAAGGTTGTTTGTCAGTGGAGGGGAGTGGAGAATGCTTTGGGGTGGGGGCTGGAGGCTTTGTGCTGAGTGCTGAGTGCTCGAAGCCATTACTGCCTCTGAGACACAGGAAACAGGCAGGCAGACGGGCGGGCAGGCAGGCGGGCGGGCAGGCAGGCAGGCAGGAAAGCCTTGGGGTGATTGTCCTTGAGCGGCAGGATCTGTTGACGATTCTGGCTCAGATTCAAGGTTGTGGCCATTGTTTGCTTGGATGATTGTTTCTGAAGAAAATGAGAAAGTGGATTCTAGTGGGCACCAGTGTTCTTCCTTCTGCATGTGCTGGTGTCGGTCTGTGATGATGTCCTTTTTTAGTGTTTTGGGCCTAGAAACCAGCAGGGCTCCTGCATTTGCTGTGTCATCCCCTGCTTCTCACCTGGGCATGGAAGTCTCCACTTTGCTGATAGACCTAGCAGGGCCACAGAGCTGGGTCACTGCAGCTGTGAGAGGCCAAGGGTATTACTGTCAAGACCAGGGGACAGTGGAGTCTCTGTTAAGATTCTGGGTATGGTGACAGCAGGAGGTGTAGCAACTGTGATGAGAACTGACCCAGGTTTCACAGACTGGTGTTGTCTGTGATGTCCTCTCCCTCCCTGGCTCTTAACATCTCAATAAAGAGGGCTAGCCACCCTGGAAACATCTGAAGGCTGAATGCCAAGAATTCATGCTGTACTCCCGAAACAGGATATTACTGAGGCATTTTCTCAAGCAGAAACAGATGTAGTCCCCTGTTACCGTGGCTGGCTGGCATTCCTAGACCCTTAAAATTACCTGATGGCAGTGAACCTTAGTGTACCCCCTTCCCACACATGGGCACAGAAGGATTTTTATGCAGAACCCACTGCTTTCACTTGGGAATGTTAGCCTGGAATTCCTGATGACAGTAAAGCTTCTCAGTGGGTTTGCATGCTCGAGTTGGTGGCTGACTGTTCTTTACTACTTAGACGAGGCTCCTCTTTGGTGAAAAATGAAATAATTCAGGATTCTTTTCTCCTGCAGTTGGAGATTAGAAACCAAACCTCAGAGACACAACATGAGTTATAGTTTCTTTACTAGCCTCCTCTTTCTTACCATTCTTTCTTTAAGGAGGCAAGCACATCTTTCTAATCTTTCCAGAGCCAGCCTATTGCCAGCAGTGACTTGCCTTTACCCACAGAAGTTTGAGATCTGACTGTGGGCTGCCCTTTGTGCACACTATCCTAGCTGAACTTTTCTTTGGCTAGACTAGACCTCGGCTTCTGACAAAGCCAGTAAAATGAAACTGGCTTCTGGGAATGGGACAGGAGGCTGTTTATCCAATTCTTCCTTCTTTGGATTGTTCTAAGTTGATCTCAGTAAACTGGGTGGAAGTTTGAAAAGGAGAACAAGATGGCTTTGCTTATTTTACATTTTAAATTGTACTATGTGCAAACCTTTTGAGGAAGGATTGATTTAAATTTTTTTTCTTTTTTTTGGTCTGTATAATCCAGGCTGGCCTTGAACTTCTGTTAGTCCTCCTGCCTCAGCCTCCAGAGTCTGGCTCTGAGGGATTTTTTTCAAAGTTGCCAATCCTATGGGATGAGACTATGGAAGGCTTGAGAAAGAGGAAAAAAAAAAAAGCCATGATTCT